TTGAAGTGACATATACTGGGTATTGGCTAGGTGGCACTAGTGCATACCTATGTGTTGCCACACAGATGTGGTTGTTTGTAACACACTGTTGGTTGAATTTCCTGGGATGTGATTGTTCAGCTGGAGCTTGATGGAGCTATTGCTCTGTACTAATTATTGCACTGGTTAAAGAGGAGGGACACTCATGCTTAATTCTCCTTTAGTGTTTCACCCTTAGTTCCTGTGTCTACAAGCTGGATGTTTGTTACAGGAGGAAAGAAATCTATGACACAGACGTTGTAAACCCACTGCTGGTGGTTTCTATGGTTTTCATACATTTCAAAATAACTGGGACACTCTGAAACTTTTGGCTCTGTGTCATTTTTCCACACCCATAGTAAACCTGACTAGAAAGAGTAGCACTGTTGGCTCTGAGATGTTCTATGCATATCTGAACGAAATAGAGTGTCCAAAATACTTTTTTTTTTTGCCCCATAGGAATTTCATCTTAGTGTTATCTAAAAGATATTAGCTCTCTTTACAACCCAAGTCTTTCCCATAGTAGAAAGGAACAGATTTCCCCAATTCAAATAGAGATAGTGAATCTATTAGGTGAAGTTTTACTGTGCCACTTTACAGAAGCCTATAATGATGTCTTAAGGGACTGATTAGAATAGTTGGCAATAACTTCATATATCTGTCATTGGTCAGGGAAAATATGAAATCTGTATAACATCTGTATGCAATGGTAAATTGTAGTACCTATGCTGGGTGTCCCTCACTTTTCCCCTCTCTGTCATTTCTATGACCTGGAAGAAGGGATTGCCTTTATATGCTTTTGTACAGCATTTGCTAAACTTTGTCCTGACAAGAGCCTTTGGGAACTAGAGGAATATACATAAGTATATAATAACAATGTCATCATTCAAATTTAACATGTGGAGAAAATAGTTATAACATAGCCTACATGAGTGATTACTGCTGAATGCAGTAATCTAACTGTATGGAAAACTATATTCAAGAGGAATCCTTACACAGGCCTGCAAAATAATTCACTTTCTAGTCCCCAAAATAGCATTTGCATAGTTCCCATACACCAGAACTAAACTGAATTTTAAGGAGGTTGAAATTACAATTCTGTGGGATATACACCAAAATGAATGGAGTGATTTTGCATTAAGAATATGTCTGAGTGGGAGATGGAGAATGAAATAGGTTCAGCTGCCAGCTTCCTCCTGCCGAAAGGAAGAACGGCTGCTTGGTCTATTGAGCTACAATATTTGGGTAGCAGCAGTTTAGAAACAAGATGCTCATTGACAGTCTAGCAATTGCGTATTCGGGTGTGAGCGGCTTCTATCCATGTATACTAACTAACCATGTCAGTGGCTTCTACCCATGACTAACCATGTCAGTTCTACCTACTGACCTCTCCCACCCCCCACCTCCTGCCCTCACATCAAGCCAGTTATGAAGCAGTGCTCTGGGGACACCAGAAGTGATGTGCCAACTACGGCATATAACATGAGATAGCAGTAAATTTATCCAAGTAAGTAACGTGACAACACAATCTGATCTCAAGATGAGAGTATTAGTAAAATGGCAGTAATTATTTGCATATTTAAATAAATGCACTGGGATGATATTCTCTGGGGTACATCCTTATATGGTGCACCCACACAACTAAATTCCTTGTCCATGCCCCCAGGCTTTGTATTTTGGACATCACAAAATCCTTTCCTTTAGCTTTGCCAAAGACTGGCTTACTTCATGAAGCTGTTATAAGACTTTCACTAACTATATTGTTTCTGTCTTTGCATTCCTCTTTGGGTTTCTCCAGCTGTATTCATTTTCAAGGCTCTATACAGTCTCCTCCCATCCCTCTTTCATTCAATATCCAGCAGTCAATTCTTACCTCTAGACCATGAAAGCCACTTTAAATCTCCTGTTCTTTAGATTTTGATTAAACATCTTTGCTTTTTCCCAATCTGACCCTAGAACTTGCAGGAGTCTGTCCATACATTTCTGCAGAGGTGTTTCTCCAAAGCTACCTCCTCTTGTGAATGAAAGACTTCATGTAGGTAACAAAATATGAGATTAACTATGAAAAAATAAATTATTTATGACAACGATAAAGAAGAATGTTAGCTTAAATTATATTGTATGTGTTTGTACTGCAACAAGAGATGAAATCTAATCAACAAAGTCAACATCTTGGGCAACACTGTTATGATGCCAGTCCATAAACTGAATTATTATGAAATAATGACATGCTCAGAAGCTGAAGGCAGATTCATTTGGAAAACTAGTGGGAAACTTTTTAAAAGAGAGTATGTTTAGTCTGACAATCTACATGGAGAAAGCATGGGTGGCTTGTACAACATTGTTTCAGTGCTTGTACATCATTGTTTCAGTGCTCTCACAGATATGACAAAAACCAACAACTTGAGGTTTAATTGACTTTGTTGTTGAATAAACATCAGTTGATTCACCAGATTGTGTGAATGGAGGAAAGTTAAAAGAAAATTTATTCTCTCTGCAACATGCAGATCTATTTCCTTCAATCATGAAATGATAAAGAGTTAGCAAAGAAGGAATCTCTAAAAAGAATAGTTATCTTCAAAGAGTTATCTTCAAACAGTTACTTTAAGAAGGTAGAAGATGCACTGTTTATACATATGCAGATTTTTGAGAGCCTAATTATGAAAATATAACATTATTACATACAGAGAAAAAGTATGTGAAGCATGAATGTTCATAATGACAGATCCCTCAGTCCATGTGTAAAAATCTCTAGTGTTAGACTTCTAGCAATCAATGGTAACACATTTTTCATGTTATGGACTTCTATTTACTGATAGAAGATGATGTCATAAATCTGGAAAGTCAGTCCAAGTTTCATTGATAATTGTAGTACTTTACAATACCCATGGGAGAGACACCAACCCAATATAAAGATTGTTTAAGATATCTGCTGTGGTACATGGATATGCCTGATACAAAACTAAACGTTGCCAAGGGCTATACTAGATGGACAAAATTTTCTTTTGGGGGGCCTGTGATCTTAAAGAGAGGCATAAACCCAGTCCAGATCACACTGCAGCACTCTCTCAGGCATGCATATCAGCAGATGTGATTGTTTTGTGTTCTCTACTGAGACTTACCTCAAGAAGTGCCAGATTTGTTCTAAGCTATGCAACAGTCATGGGACCCCTGCAGGCATTATTACATAATAACTTTAGTTTTCTTGGACAACTGTTTCTAAGTCTTGTTTTCAACCAGTTAAGGAGCTGGACTGTTAGAAATTAGCACTTCTTTGCGCAACCCCCTTCGTAACTGTAGATGATTCAAACTGCGGCCTTGATACAGTGCTTAGATGCATGAAGTCTGAAAGAACAATCACATTAGTATCAAGGCCAATAAAACAAAAGCTTTGTCATTAAAAATAAATCCTTTGCTTCCGTCTGGCCCACTGCAGATGTATTTTATTTCAAAACTCATTGTCTCTTAATGGCAGTATCATCAGCAATTCTCAATGTGTAGCACCATAAAATATTGCTGTAGACCTCTTGTGCTTTCCTCATAATTGCTAACTCATAGATAGATGGTTTTGAAACAATTGGTTGTATGAAAATTCTAAATTGTATATACAAAGAAGCTCAAAGTAGCTGTTGAGGTGCAATCTATGTTGCCAAGAATACACTCCTTCCTACAAACATCTGGGGATGTTGTTTTATTTTATTTTATAACTTAACCAACCTGTATGCTCTGTGTAATTTGGTGTTAAAGTAAACCTGACACTTGAAAGTTGCTATATTTCTACCACCAAAGTAACTCTTGAGCTAAAAGAAAAGTGACCAAGTCTTCCTTCATCATGGGCACAGGAACCAATCTTCCTGGAAATGGTTTTCTCTGTGAAGAACCCCTAATTCCATATTCCCCTGCCCACTTAGAGGTACCTCTCTGGCCTTCACTACTCCTCCTCTGCCCCAAAACAAAGACTTGGCCCTGCTGACCTCCTTGTCCTTCACACTTCACTTAGCTTTGCCTGTACAATTTGTTGCTGGGTACCTGCTACATTCCTGTATGCTGATTTCTTCTGCTAGCTCTGGTGGAGTATGAACATCCCCTTTGTCCTCAGCTAACACCTCAGAGAGGTGTTTCTCCAGGGTCCCACTCAGTCCATAATATCCTTTGTGCTTGTACCAGACACAGCACACTTATTGTGACCACTGAAGGCATCCTGCCTTCTCTTGCTGTTGAGTAAGTGTCTCATATCCCCACTGGAGTCTGCAGTCTGATTGCTAAACTGCTTCTACAACCCTCTAAATGTCTCCTCCTACAATTAATTCTACCTTAGAATATCGCTAATGTAAGTAATGCAAATAAGTATACATCACTTACCTCAATAATACCAGGAATTCAACTGCAGATTTATAAGTAGACTTTCAGCAATAAGCAACATGTTCAGAAATGTCAAGGCCTCTATTTACATATTCACAACAGGGTGAGGAATATACATGCTGATGTGCAAAGTAAAAGGTATAGATTAATACCTAAAGTCTTCCCTCTTTTACTCCTTCACAAAACAGACTGTATATTCTGTATATTCCAAAACAGGCTATAATGTTCTTCATATCAGCCATTAAACTTTGACCATTGCAACAGAGCTACTCACAAACTGTGGATGTAATCCACATATAACAGAACATCTGTGTGGCTTTTCCTGCTTTCCAGTGGTGCTTGTTCTTCATACACAATTGCTCTGCAGGAGATGAAATCATTTCATCTTTCTTATACCTGTGTATCAATTCATTCTTTAGTAGCTAGAAATTAATTTTGAATTACCTTAGAATTCATCGGGTAACGAAGATGAGACATAGTAATAAAAGGTGATCTCTTGATATACTTAAATGTCTGTTTTGTGTAGCCCTGCATTTAAGCTGAAGAGTCCAGCATGAGTGCTGGTGGACCAGAAGCAATAAGCCTGCCTGAAGGACACTCAGGAGGGCCATTTCAATGTACCTTTGCATTGGCTGCTCTTCCCACTCTGTAGATCAGAGGAGGCATTGGTAGGTGACTCTGGGAACCTCATTCCATGGTAGTTGGTGCCTCACTGTCTTCTCCACTGCAGCTAAAAACTTCAGAGCAAAAGAGATTTCTAATGGTGATTTTGCATAGTTCCTTTTACAAAGTACCCAACTGCCATAAAATACAAAAAAAAAAAAAGAGCTGTTCTTCTTGCCACTTCCCCATCATACAGTGCAGATGCCATGCTGGAGACACAGGAATGAAAGAGGCCCCAAATAATCTGAATCCATTTAAGTATTACCACTCTTTAAAAAGTAAAGATGCAGTAGGTTCTCATACCGGATGTTAACCTGGCTTTAGAGTTTGGATAATGGGTTCTGACACAAACTCTAACTCTCAAATAAAAAAAAATCTGTTTACTTATTATGTATGGAAAAGCCTCATGAGAATAATTATTACAAGCTATAACATCACCAATATTGGTTAATCCTCATCATTTCATCACACACATCTCACCACATGACATTTTTTTGGCCATGTCCCGTCTTGTAGTGATCCATTCCCTGAGGTACAATTTCTTGCTGAATGGGAGAAGTCTGCTTCAGGACAATATTTCATCCTCCATTATTCTGTGCAAAAAAAGGAACAGTTTAGTTCATTTAGTTCTCTTACTCCAAGCAGTGCACACAGCAAAAGGACTGAAATGCTGAGCAGTGACCTGTCCCAGATGAAGGATCCCAGAAAGAAACACTTCATCACTGTGATCCTGGTTACTAACTGACTTGAGGCACACAGTGCTAAAGACTGTCCAGAGGTTTATTTGTTCTGGGTTACTTCTAGTACATTTTCCTCAGAGAATAAAAATAGCTCCACTCCGATACCACCCCAATAATAATCCCTGGTAGTTTTTTTTTTTTTTTTTTTTAAATGCAGGAATCCTATATGGCCTATCTAAGGTGTTGCAGATTCATTTTGCTTTTTTGCTAAGCTTTTTCCCTGACAAAAGAGCGCTGCTATTCTGGCTGCAAAGTGCAGCTGTTGGTAAGTCAACCCTCTAGTGGCCAGATCCAGCACAGAGCTTGCAGCAAGTTACACAAAGCAAATCTGCAGTTTTGATGTTTGTCTGGCAATAAAGAAAGAAAGAAAAAAAATCACATTCATGTTTAAATGCAGTGCTACCTAAATTAAGATAATGGGGGAAATACAGTATTGTTTAGTTTCCCAGTCATGAAAGTATTGTAAACATTAGAGCTGGATTGATGCACTTCTTGATGACTTGAAGTGGTTTTCATAAATGAAGTCCAAATATGTAATAGCTGCTCTCAATTTTCTATGAGAAGATTTATTCAAAAATAAATTTAGCTAAGGGGAAAAAAGAGACAGATTTGAAAGCTGAATTATTGCCAAGAACTGAAACATTGAAGCAGCCAGTCCCTTTTGAGACAGCTGCAACATTTCATGGTGTAAAGTCAGCGAATTTCCACAGGCCCTGCTGCCAGAGACCACAAAATGGTTTCAAACAACGGCTCACTTCATGATATTTTTGTTTTTTTAAAAAAAGTGTCCTTGTGCTGCTGAGTGGGCAGTGTGCGCTAAGTTAGCAGATTAATGAAAATGTTTCACTGGCACAAGATTTTGATTGCCCCAGTGCAAAATTGCTTGCAGATTGGAAAACAGCATGTTTCATTTCAAACTCATTCTCTTCCCATACATTAGCACTTGTCAATGTAGCCATTAAGCACAGTCAGTGCAGAAATTTAATTACAAAACCATTTATTTTATTGAAAGAAAAATAAACCCAAGCTACCTCAAATGCATTAGGTGGGTTCAAAACATGTTCGGCTGATAACACCCAAGGGTAGAGAGGCTGCTGTAAGAATAATGTTCCTTTCATGTGTGGTGGGGACTCAATATTAGAAACAGCTGCCTATAAGTCATTCTTTATTTAAGTTCTATTATGAATTAAAGAACAACTGATTTAATGAAGGAACTTTTTATATCTGAAGTTACTCAGCTGCAGTATTCATTCTGTCTTCCTTTAAGAAAGAGGTTAAATTTTAAATGTTAAGTAGGTGAACAGAACGATACTTTTTATTGAATACTTTTTTTTTTTTTTTTCTCATGTTAGCCTTTTGTTCTCCTAATGCTTGAAGAATGTAAGGTCTGTGGTATTAAAGGAAGTAACAAAAATGTGCTAAACACATCAAAAAGTAGAAAATCTGTATCTTATTTATGCCACAGAGTTCTACACTCTGCATGTCTTATAGGCATTTGCAAAGGCCCAAGAATAAGGATCTCTAACTAAATGATAGATGTGGGTCAAGCAGCACTCTGATGTCATGGTACATATTGCCTCTGTCTCACTACTAATGAGCTGCCAATAACAGGTCTGTTTTACTGTTCTGCTTGAAGAATAAAAAAAAAAAGGAGTTATAACCTTAGTGGTTTGGACTGATTTGTCAATTTAAAGTGACTTTTTTTTCTTCTGTCTGAGATATCTACCCACAATTTCTTGCAGACATAGGCTCATGTAGTCCACCCAGATGAGAGCCCAGAAGAGGCGATGTGAGTGTTTGGCAGTGCCCCGGGCTGAGTGGCAGTCAAGGAGACTGCTGCTGCCATGGGGAGAACTGTACAGCAGAGAGAGCATCCTGGTGACACTGCATTTGCTCCAAGGACAGCAGCTCCATCAAATGCAATGCTTCCTCACACCACCCTCCAGTGCACAAGCCATTGTGTGTGTGTGTGTGTGTGCAGGGGTGGGTGGGGACAGTGGGATCCTCCCCACATCCTGGGCAGCCAGGGCCTCACACGTGGGTTTGATCACCCCCTGCCTTAAGCAAGGATGGAAACAGATGCTATTAATGAATCTAGGTATTCCATACAGCCATAATACTCCACAAAATGTTGTCCTAGATTAGCCAAGGTAGGTCATGTTCAGTAGTATTGCCTTTCATTAGCAGAATTAACAATTAAGCACACGCCTTTATTTTAGATCATTTTCCTGAGACCACCTGTTTCCACTTCTTTTGCCTTTACCAAAAACTGAGGTATCAGAGGAATTTCCTAAATTTTTCTCTTGACTTCTAAAGCCTTTATTTATCCTTTTCCATGCTGTCATCCTCTCCATCAGAAGTGTCAACCCATGGGATGCATTTCTCAGGAAGGAATCTCCTCACCTACATCCTGTGTTGCAACACCACGTCATCCCAGACAAAGCAGCACAGTTAGAACACTGCCAGGACCAGCCACCTTCTCAGGTGACATCTTCCAACTCTTTTGGGTTCACAACCTGGCAGAGGAATGACACTGGAGTTGCTGAAGTGCCAAACAGAAGTAGCATATCACCTCCTCTCTATCAGAGCCTGTTTTATGATTAGGAAAGCTCTGCAAAATCGCAGACACTACACCCATTCACATACACAACCAGGCACAAAGTGCAAGACAGATAATATCACAGCATATTCCAAGAGGCCCATTTCATGCCTAAATTAGGGTATTCTTTGTTCTTGGGTTTTACATTTGTTACTCAGACAGGTTTTCTCTCTCTACTTCACTAAGAGAATTGTCATATAAAGTAGACTCAAAAACTAAGAAATCTTAGTCTTGTGTTTCTGTCCTGATATCATAAATGCATATATCAGGGTGGAAGAAAAACAACCAAAACCCACAAAAATAAGGAAAACAAACAAACAAACAAAAAGAATCTGAATTGAAATCTAGTTGCAAAAGAGCCAGCAAGGGGAAAAAAATCTGTTAAAATAATGAGTGGAATAAAGCTTGAGGGAAGGCTAGCACCAGGCTACTGCAAGGATCTTCCCTGGAGGTTTGTGCATGTTGGAGCCATTCTGGAGCATCGCCTCTCACTTCATAAAACTGCCTGCCCGCACTGTCCTCTTCCTCCTCCTCTCCTCAGGTCCCACTCCAGGGAGAGGCTGATGGGCTCAGCTCCTCCATTTGATAGCTCCCAAGTACATCCTGCCATGACAATTGCCACGGGTTTCCTTGTACTTCAATATAAAAAGTTCCCTAGAGGTGTCTAAATATTAACTTGAAAGGCTGCTGAAAAGGAGGGAGTAGCACGGGATGCTGAAAAAGAGTTGTGAAATGCAAATAGACATAGTATCAAAACAAATGCCTCTTCTGAGGAGAGCCATTGCCTACAGAGGTTTCATCTCTGTGGACTATCTGAGGTTTTCAATCTAACAAAATACTCTCTTGGAAGTATGTCATGAGAGACAGCATGAGTATAACTGTATCATCAGCACAAAATCATTTCTTTGAAATGGGGCAATTCACAGCATTCTCCAACTTCATAGTACCGTTCCATTTTGATTTTTCTTAATTATTCCACATAATGTCTGTCTAAAAAAATATATTTTGCTAGTCTATAACTGAAAATACAGCTGAAAAGTACAAAAGTTTTCGTCTACAAACATTTATTTCTTAATATTCCAAGGAACAAAAGCATCCCAAGTTTAGATTCAAATTTTCAGTTATTAGTATCCGAACTTCTCACTAGCTTTAACACAAACCTGTTGTGCACCTCTGAGGTACTGAAATCTCATTCCCGTTTTGTGGATGAAGAAAGAAAGAAGGTAAGATGAGATCCTATGATTTTCCCAGATCTGGAAGTCTATAGTAAAGTCAGAGGCTGTGCTGAGCTCCCATGACTGTCTTTTATCTCTGTCAGCTCAAAAGGGATTTGGAACAGGAGTTATCCCAGATTTACAAGAGGACCAGCCACTGTTATCCAAAATTTGGATACTCCCTGTGGTACTATAGTTTCTGAGTTCAATCCTTATTCAAGACACACAACAGAAAGCTAAGCCCCTAATTGAGAATCATTACAACAACTCAAAGCATGCTGAAGTAGACCACATCTTTTCACATACTGACATACTCTGTTCTACAACTCCATTTGCCTCTACCTTATACCCTTCTCTAATCATTCTTTTTTAAATGGAAGGTGAGAAGCAACACAGAATGAGAGAACCCAGAGAAGAAAAGTTGCAAAGATTTTCTCAGTTCCTTCAACAACAGAGTATAATAAAATGATACTAAACACAAGGAAATATGTGATGTGCATGTGTCTACCGTAACAGGACACCTTAACATTTAATTCTTCAGTCAGAGAAAAAATAATCTATCCTCTTAATGCAAGAAGGAATAAGACAAACAAATACAGTAATTGTGATAGTAGTTAAAGGAGGATAGAAAGATGGGAAGAATGACCATGGTAGGAAAAATATCTTCTCTGCCAGCGTGTAGGGGAAAAGCTGCCATCATTAGGAAGACAGACTATGGGGATACTGATCCACTACAGACACCACCCACAGCTGCCTGTGCCTTCTCACAAAACCTAGGTGTAGTTAGGACTAGCTGCTCAGTCTGCATGAAAAAGTGAGCCTTGCCACAGGAGGCCATCTTAGCACACAGACCTCAGCCAGAAGAGGCAGATGCCTTGCCAGCAGGGCATGCGAAACATGCACTGAAGTGCAGTGAAGTAACTGACTTCAAGTAAGCTGAGCAGACTCAGCTTCAGCTTGTGTAGGGTCAAAGAGCACGCCTATGTGTGCCAGGTCCGCAATGCTTACTTCACTAGTCTGACAAAAAAAAACAAAAAACACCAACCCCTTAGTACAGAAATCTGTTGTGTCCCACAAATAGTTAATCTTGGAGAAGAGTCCCTCAATCAAAAAAAGCAAGAACTGCCCACTGTGTGGGTACAGCCTTCAGCATACCACCTTCTGCAGTGCGTGCAACACTGTGTCTGTAAAACACTTCATCCAGCTGGGAAAAAAATAAAAAATCGAGACAGAGTGAGTGTAAACATATTCCCATAACACATGAAGTAGGGACAAGTGGACAAGTACTTGACTACATGAGTTTCACAGCTCACTGGGTGTCATTCCAAAAAGCATCTGTCACTGCCGCTGGCAATGAATTTTGAAAACAACTGTATTTTGCATCTCAGAGTTTAACAGGATTGCACAGCCGCCAACAAACAATCAAAGCCTAAAGACCTAACAAATGTGTGCTTTACCTCTCCAGATCTTTCGCTTGGTTATATTATCAGTGACAGGAGTGACAATGTTGTTAGGATGGTGTTAGACAGCAAATTCACACGTGGATCTAACTTGTCAAGTCAGCACGCTCAGATTGAACATTTGCACGATTCTCTTAAGAGGAATTTCTCTCTATATTTTTTTTTTTTTCTCATGCTAAACATATTCTGCTTGAGGTTTATAAACTTTTACCCATGTCAGTAATTCCAGAAGAGCAAGTGCTGGTTTAGGAAATTTTGTGTCTCACAAACAACACCAAAAAAAAACAAAAAACAACCAACAAACAGAAAACACTTACTGCTTCCATGCTGAGATGCAGGTAGATGAGAAATGTTTATAGTGGCTAAAAATTTAGAGGGTTAATGATGGCCTCTTCATGTCACTGGGAATTTGGCTGTAGTAGCAGAAAGATTTATCCTTACCTGCATAGTAACAATAGATGTGAGAAATTATTGCACCAGAGGTTGTATTAATGCATAGTAAAATAGAGTTCCAGACTATACAAATGTAAGGTTTAAAAGAAAAGAGATGGGGAAAGAAAAAAGGCACAGAGAGGTAAATTAACCAGGCTGTGCTCCATGGCAGAGTCAGAAACAAAACTCCAGTATATATTGTTCTAAAATATATTATTCTCCCATACAGGCCCATTCAAGGTCTACAACTGAATTATGCAGAGGAGCTGTCCCTTTGTCAGAGACGAGGGGAAAAGTTAGAATGTAACTATGACCAAAACAGCTGCTCTAGAGTTGCTATAGTTTTGTATCAAAAGCAAATAAATAGATAAATAAATGGTCACTTTAATATTAATTTGAATAGCCTCTGAGTTTGTATTTACCTGTGTGCCTGCAAAAGTGTTGTGGGGAAATGGCCACAGTCAAAGCCATTGCTTTCTCTAAGAACAGACTAGCCTAAACATATATGGTTTTCCTCCCAAAGCCCCTTTCTGCCCTATCAGCCACATTACATCTTTACAAAAAAAAAAAAAAAAAAAAAAAAAAAAAGGGAAAACAAAAAGAGAGAACTAGGACAAATACAAACTGGATTCTTCTGCTGATACAAGAATATTATTAGTAAGAAGCATGAAGTGATGTGATATCTTATCATCATGGCCATAGCAAGGAAGGCTTCCTGACTTCTTACCAGAACAAACTGTTACTCTGAGGTGAAATTTTAGTATAGCATCACAAAGGAAACTTTTAATGCTGTGTTCATCCTAATATTCAACAAGTGCAGTGGGTGCATATTCCTGTAAAGCATTTGTGATGCTTCCTGAGAGGGAAACAACAGTAAAAGGTAGTCCTGAAGAAAGCAAAGCTACACATACAATTACAAACATCTCCATCTAAGAGATTTATTTTGGTTACTAATGTTTCTTCTCTTACCCATCATATCTTTTGTTTTGATGCTGATTTTGGGCCCAGCTGAGAATTCAAACATTCTATTAGATCATATCTTCACAAATACTGTTGTACTAACATCAGTTTCTACCCTATGAAGAGGAAAAATATAAAATCGGAATCATCTTTCCACCATATGAGTCAGAAACACATCCCTTTTAAATATAGAACAGAGAATATAGCTGGCTTTGTTCAACACTTCTTTCTAGGCTGTAAGAAATTATTGTCTATTTAAAATGTGTGGATGTTAAGAATGAAAAAAAGGATTAAATCATGTACTGGAAATCACAAGTTTTTTTTTTTTTTTTCTTCTTTCTTTTCCTAGCAGCTGTATAGCAACTTAACACTTCAGTTTTCCTAAGAAGCTGTCTACATTTATTAGTGGGCTTTGGCTAAATTGCTACAGAAAAACTATGTTAAGAAAGAACAACCTCTGCAGAAAGGAAAGTGATGTTTGAAGTAATTGCCTAATGATGCTTTTTTCTACTTCTGTCCTAGGATCTGTAGCTTGGATTATATACATGCTTTACTGGGGGGTAGTAAATTGTCATTCTCTCTACGGATTTACAAGATCAATCTTGGTAATTTGTTAGTTACAGTGTATGTAATGTGATATTATTGCTCATGTTACACAAGAGGATTACATGGCTTACTAAATAAAGCAGTGGACTTTACATTAGGGACCATACTTCCTTCCAGACTGATGCCTAGACAAGTAAAATTAGATCGGTGATCTCAGCCTTAGGACCATCTCTGGTGAATATGGACTCAGATCCCTAAATGACTAAACACAACTTAGGCCATCACTCATCTTTGTATGCTCACTC